CAGTTGATACACAAAGATGAAACAAATCCCCTTACATACTGTACGTTGTACTTATTTATCTGCTGCCCTCTCTTCTCTACAGCTGTTCAAAGTACAGAATTTAGACATTTCTCCAAAAGGCAGGGGGCAGGGATCTGATGTTACACATGGCACATCATAGAGCAAGGAGCTGAGTGTAATTTGAGACCTGAGTTGAGGGAATAGACCCACCCTGAAACTGAAACCGCCTGAAAATTGCTCTGACAAGGTTTGAATGCAGCCAAAGGCTGTAATGATGTACAGGCAGCACAGTGAAGATCTTGGTGAAGAAAGGACAGGTGAGTAATATGTTTGTTGGGAATGTTGCGGAATTGAGATCAATTGTCAAAAATCAATCTCATTCTGTCAATCAAATTCTTGCAAAATTATTCTGCCACCAATAATCATGCTTATATGGTTTATCTCAATAAGAAGGGGGTGAAAGTGTCCGGTATGGAAGTGATTAGAATATAAAGGAAAACAGGACAGTTACAATACAGTTCAATACAAGAGGGTTAGGAGGACCCTGCTCATAAGAGCCTACAATCTAATAGGGTGGGGCAAGTGGCACAAAACGTAATAACTGTGAAGCATGTGCTGATGGAGAAAATACAAAACAAATTTGCTTTTAGGTGGAGGCCAAACATTTTTATTTTTTAATTGATTCTCGCCTCAAGTCCATAGTGCAGTGAGCAAAAAAGAAACACCAAAGTGAACAAAAGAAATGCATATGGACATACTCCAAAAAAAGTGCAGCAGGGTGTGTCAAATGGTCTCCTACTGAAGAAGAAGGACCCACCGATTATCCAGCCAATTACTCATTGGAGCACAAGTTCAGACACAACTGAATACTTTGAATACCCAATCACGTGCCAGAGAGAAAAAAACACAGGATTTTGTATTGCACATGATGGAAATCGGTGACCACATGCAACTACATGAGATTAAAGCGGAGTTCCAGTTGATTAAAAAAAAAAAAAAAAGTCAGCAGCTACAAAAAGTGTAGCTGCTGACTTTTAAAATACAGACACTTACCTGTCCCTCGGTCCATCGATGTCCTCTCACCACCGCTGGTTTCACTGGTCGTCTTCTCTCCCTGGTGCCGGCATCTTCAGTGTGGGCACCCAGCTGTGACAGCTTGCGGCTTCACTGCGCATGTGCGAGAAGCACTGTGCTTTGGGAATGGCCCCATAGTCTTCTGGGACCTGTCACATGTCCCAGAAGACTATGGGGAGGGAGGGAGGACAACTTCTGCTTCTGATTTCCTAGTCGATTGCAGCGAAAGTGGGAGCGGGTACCTGTCAAATTCGGGTACACGCTCCCCAAAGGTGCCTGTCCTTAACGGGGAGTGGGGTACAAAGCCTTAAAGTGGAAGTAAACCCACTTTGTATTTTTTACCTACAGGTAAGCTTACAATACAATTTACCTGTAGGTAAAATGAATATCTCTTAAATGTGCACCGTTTAGGAAATATTTGCTCTTTTTGTCCTCTGGCGCATGCGCTCTGAAGGAACTCCATACCCTTGCCGTTCCTTCAGAGCACTGTGCCGTGCCCAGGGGCGGACTGACCATTTGGAAACTCGGGCACCACCCAAGGGTCAGTAGGGGGCCCCATGAGATGCCCCTGGTACCTTTTTCATAAGCTTTTTTGAGTTTGGGCAAGGACACAGGGGCCCCATGATCCCCTATTGCCCGGGGGCCCCATGAGTTGTCAGTCCGCCCCTGGCTGTGCCCCGAGACTCCAGCACATGTGTCAATGTGGCTTGGCCAGTCAGACAGCCAGGACTTGCGAACCCGGAACACTTGGAGAAGATTGAAGCCTCTCACATTACCTTCCAGAGGATTATTTTCTTTTTGTCTCAAGCCACGTTTTACTACCGCTTTAAAGCAGAACTTCCCTTTTGAGTGGAGCTCTGCTTTAAGTGATTTTCTATGCAGAACAGGGGCGGACTGACCATTTGGAAACTCTGGCACTGCCCGAGGGCCCGGGGTCAGTAGGGGGCCCCATGAGATGCCCCTGGTACCTTTTTCATAGGCTTTTTTGAGTTTGGGCAAGAACACAGGGGCCCCATGATCCCCTATTGCCCGGGGCCCCATGAGTTGTCAGTCCGCCACTGATACAGAATAAAAACATAACATGTCATTTTCCGTTATTATATATTTGCATTATAGGTAACATAATGTTATATTTTTCTATAAATCCGGTCTTATATAATAGGTTTCACACAGTGATTTTATCTACAGATCGCTACTAATCGCCAGCATCCCACGGACAAAAGCAGAGAGCAACGGAACGCACTCTCGCGTTCCATTTACCGGAAGTGACTGAAGACCCGGCCTGTAGTTCCGGGTCTACCTGGACCGCTCTCTGTAGGCATGGGACCTTTGCAGTAGTAGCAGTCGAGGAACAAAAGGTAAGTGGAACTATTTGTTGTGTGTAGTTGGGCGGTAGCTCCGCGGTGGAAGCCGTAGTGTGTAGAGAAATAAAGCTGGCGGAGCGGAGCCTGTGCTGTCTATATAACAATAGGGAAGGTTAGGCGTTCCTGTCTGCTGTACAACTACCGAGCACAACTTCACACAGAGGGACGATGGCTGTGATGGATGCTGTCTCATTCTTTTTCTATTGGAGCGAATAGCATGCCTGGCTGTGCATCCATACTTGGCACTGTTGTGGTTGGATAGGCAGGATTGGTTAGTGGGGGGCTTATTTAAAAAAAAAAGGACACATTTGTAATGTAGCTGAGGCTAAACAAGTTTGTTTTTTTGTTTTTTTTGTGTGTTTTTATTTTTTTTTATTTTGCTATTGTGTTTATATATGCTTCTTAAAGTGTCTCCCGCTAGTTTAAAAGAAAAAAAAATAAGTTGTAAGAAGGACCTGTCTGTAAAGGAAAGGGTTAATAAATGGTGCTGGCGGTCTTTGTTTCCAGGTGGGCCCCTTTGCTTCCGCCAGCCCCTACGTGACAAGTCTGCCCAGTATTCATGTACATGGAATACGTCTCCAGCACACTGACATGCTTCATTCAAAGTGAAACAAATTTCATTCTTGTAAGATCACATAGAAAAGCACGGGAGATTTTGACATAGGGTCCATAGTAAGCACACATGGGGGGGTCAGGTATCTGTCAGGTTTATATATAGGCAGCACAGTGCCTTAATGGTTAGCACTTCAGCCTGGCAGTACTAGGGTTGCTGGTTCAAATCCCAACCACAGCACCACCTGCCTGGAGTTTGCATGTTCTCCCTGTGCCTGCGTGGGTTTCCTCCAGGTACTCCGGTTTCCTCTCACACTGCAAAGACATGCTGGTAGGTTAATTGGATCCTGTCTAAATTGTATGTGTATGTATGAATGTAAGTTAGGGACCTTAGATTGTACACCCCTTGAGGGTTAGGGACTGATGTGAATGTACAATATATATGTAAAGTGCTGTGTAAATTGACAGCGATATATAAGTACCTGAAATAAATCTGTCAGATGCTGATTTTTTTTCAGCCTTGGGGATGTCTTCAAGAGAGCAAATATTAGTGGCGTGGGTAAATATTAAAGTGGCACTAAACAATACCCTTGTTCTCCAAATATAATCAATACACAGCCATGACTTAAAGTGGTTGTAAAGCCTAACCAGTTTTTTACCTTAAAGCGGAGCTCCACCCAAAAGGGAAGATCCGCTTTAATGCATTATCCCCTGCTGCCCGTTGAGGATTGGCACCTTTGGGGAGTGGGTACTCAAATTTGACAGGTACCCGCTCCCACTTCTGCTGCGATTGCCTAAGGCAGGGGTGGGCAACTGTGGGCCTCCAGCTGTTGCAGAAGTACAAGTCCCATGAGGCATTGCAAAACTGACAGTTACAAGCATGACTCCCAAAGGCAGAGGCATGATGGGACTTGTAGTTCACCAACAGCTGGAGGGCCATAGTTGCCCATCCCTAGCCTAAGGTGATCGGAAGCAGAAGTTGTCCTCCCCCCCCCCCCCCCGGTAGTCTTCTGTGACACGTGACAGGTCCCAGAAGACTATGGGATCATTCACAAAGTGCAGCGCTACTCGCGCATGCACAGTGGGCACCCGGTTGTCACAGCTGGATGCCTACACTGAAGATGCCGGGGAGAGAAGATGGGTGGTGAAACCAGCCATGGTGAGGACACTACTGAACCGAGGGATAGGTAAGTTGCTGTATTTTAAGTCAGCAGCGACAGTTTTGTTGCTGCTGACTTATATTTTTTTTCAAAGTCAACCAGAACTCCGCTTTAAATCGGATATATAGCTCAGTTCCAGCGATGCAGCATCCCTCTGCCACTCGCCTGGCCGTTGACATCTCCCAGTCTTGATCGCTGGGTGGGGATGACGTAAGTCCTGCGCATGCGCAGGTGTTCTGTCAGATTTGACATTGCCAAATTTGTACAGTTAGCTGCGCATGCACAGCTCACTGCATAGGGGCGGAACAGGCAGGTAAGTAACTTTAATGCAGAAGAGGCAAAATATGTCTCTTCTACATTAAAATTCCTGCTTTTCAGTTTTTATTTTTTTCGTTAAAGTTCCACATTAATGTATTTGGTAAGAAAAATGTTTAGGCATCAGTATCCAACCTCACCCCTCCCTTTTTTTTTTTTTTTTGTTTTTACTTGCAAATGATCCCTCATTTGGTCCAGTGCTGTGCCGGGCAGCAGTTCTGTCTCTGCTGAGGCAGCGTGGGGGGGGGCATTGGTTCCAGCTGCTATTGATCAAATGACAGGAAGTGGGGCCAATAGATCTCCTTAAAAATATTTCACTTTTTGATTTGCTATTTTTATATTAACCTTTATTATCATTTGTTTTCTTCTTTTAGGTTCCCAGCATGTTTCAAACCAGATTGCTTTGTGTTTGACAATGAGCATCAACTCTTCTGGAGAAAATGGCGTGGGAAGTCAAACTGCAGAAAATGGGGCTACTATAGTAGCCGAATCCATTGCTATAATCATCATTGACATTCTGATATGCCTGGGCAATCTTGTCATTGTAATTACATTGTACAAGAAGTCATATTTGCTTTCCCTCAGCAACAAGTTTGTATTTAGCCTGACGTTATCCAATCTGCTGCTGTCTATGCTGGTGCTTCCTTTTGTTGTTGTCAGCTCAATTCTGAGAGAATGGATATTTGGAGTGGTGTGGTGCAATTTCTCTGCCCTTCTTTATATGTTGATCAGCTCTGCCAGTATGCTTACTTTGGGCATCATAGCAATAGACAGGTAAGTCATATTAACCATCAACATACTGCTGTTTACTCCCATAGATTTGTGCTTGGGCTTAGATTTAAAGCAGAACTAAAGGCACCATACAAAAACTTACAAGCAGGTAGACTATTTATCACAGAAGTAGCATGCAATAAACTACACCTACCTGCTTGCTTGCAATTTTCTGTGTTGTCTAAACTGAGCTGTCCATGCTCAGCTCTTTTTACTCTGTGCGGATTACTGACTCCTGTGCATCACAAGATTTATGTCATTTGACGTTGCTCAGTGAAATTGCCAAAGACTGACAACCGAAAGGAGCTGAAAAGAAAATGATGGCACCAGCAAGGAACCTCCCCTCATGGATTTCAGATCATTTTTGAGGAAGTATTATGACTTTTTCAGGTATAGCTATGTAAAACATTCAAAATAAGTGTCTATTCTGTTTAAAAGCCAGTAATACATTGTCTCTCCCTGCTCTGCACATGCTCAGTTGCTGTCTATTTATAGACACTGTGCTAAATTTGTAGAGGCTGATCTACTGACAGTCTAAAGATTTACTGCAGCTCAGGGACTCTAGCCTTCAGCAAAATGGCAGCCTCCAACAAGAAGAAACAGAAGCAATGCTGGATGCAAAATAACATTATTTTTCACCAAGTTCTTATAGGTAAATTTCCACTTTAAGGTGCTGTAGACATTAACAGGTTAATTCAATAAGTCAGAGCAATTATGTAACGTTAAAGGAGAAGTATAGTAAAAGCTTTTTATGGCTGTACTTCTCCTATGAATTACAGTTACACAGAGTTTACTCCTGTGACCCATTTTCAGCCGACAGCGGGCTAAAGCCTGCTGTTGGCTGAAGTTGCAGAGCCAGTCCAAGCTATGTAAAAATCGCGACCATATGGTCGGGATCCACATAGAAGCCTGGACCTGCAACTGGCTCAGCCTCTCAGCTGCACTGCTGGGAGGCAGAGCCAGCCACTCCCCAGCCCAGTGCTCCAGTGAGCATCGGAGGGGCAGAGCAGAGAGCTGGTGACCGGCAGTCTCTGCTCTAAGCGAAGGGGAGGAATGAGCGATCAACAATGTTTGATCGCTCTGTTCTCAGTGCAGGGCCGGCGGGGGACAGATGCAGCATACTAATGTAGTTTTGTGAGGGTTTTTTTTTTTTTTTGGGTTTTTTGTTGTTTTTTTTTTATTAACACCGAACGTCTCTTATAAATGTGCCATGAGCTGTGCTTTTACTGTCTGATTAAACTAGAATTTATTTTTCTTAGAGCTTATTCACATGGACATTTTCAAAGTGCATCCACATAAAACACAGCATCTTGCTAGCAGAGGTTGCCTTAAAGACCCCGAATATTTGCTGTACACAAGTAACATCTGTGCAACTCTGCTAGTTCAAACATATCAATATCAACAAGGTGTATTCATTTGCAGTATGGAAGCCATGGGGTCAGTAAATAACCAAAGCAGCTAGCATTTGCAGAAGGAGTTCACCAGTCACCACCTAAGAGAAAGTTTACTATAATATAAGGGAGGTCAGGAAGTCACAGGGAATAGCAGCTTATAGCTTTAGTTATATACACTATATTGCAAAAGTATTGGGATGCCTGCCTTTACATGTACATGGACTTTATTGGCATCCCAGTCTTTGTCCGTAGAGTTCAATATTAAGTTGGCCCACCCTTTGCAGCTATAACAGCTTCAACTCTTATGGGAAGGCTGTCCTCAAGGTTTAGGAGTGTGTCTGTGGGAATGTTTGACCACTCTTCCAGAAGCGCATTTGTGAGGCACTGATGTTGGATGAGAAGCCCTGGCTGGCAGTCTCCACTCTAATTCATCCCAAAGGTGTTCTATTGGGTTGAGGTCAGGACTCTGTGTAGGCCAGTCAAGTTCCTCCACCCCCAAACTCTCTCATCCATGTTTTTATGGACCTTGCTTTGTGCACTGGTGTGCAGTCATGCTGAAAAAGGAAGGGGCCATCCCCAATCTGTTCCCACAAAGTTGGGAGCTTGAAATTGTCTAAAATGTCTTGGTATGCTGATGCCTTAAGAGTTCCCTTCATTGGAACTAAGGGGCCAAGCCCAGCCCCTGAAAGGCAACCCCACATCGGTATGCTCCCTCCACCAAACTTTATACTTGGCACAATGCAGTCAGGCAAGTTCTGTTCTCCTGGCAACTGCTAAATCCAGACACATCCATCGGATTGCCAGACAGAGAAGCATGATTTGTCAGTCCAGAGAACACGTCTCCACTGCTCTAGAATCCAGTGGTTGCATTCTTTACACCACTGCATCTAACACTTTGCATTGTACTTGGTAATGTAAGCCTTGGATGCAGCTGCTCAGCCATGGAAACCCATTCCATGAAGCTCTCTACGCACTGTTGTGCTAATCTGATGGTCACATGAAGTTTGGATGTCTTTAGCTATTGACTCTGCAGACAGCGACTTCTGTGCACTGACCCAGCTTTGTGGCTGAGTTGCTGTTGTTCCCAGTTGCTTCCACTTTGTTCCACTAACAGTTGACTGTGGAATATTTAGTAGCAAAGAAATTTCATGGATGGCGTTATTGCACAGATGGCAACCTATCACGGTATCACGTTTGAATTCACTGAGCTCCTGAGAGCAACCCGTTCTTTCACAAATGTTTGTAGAAGTAGTCTGCATGCCTAGGTGCTTGATTTTATACACCTGGGGCCATGGAGCTGATTGGAACACCTGAATCCAGTGATTTGGAGGGGTGTCCCAATACATTTGGCAGTATAGTGTATGTTTCCCTTTTTATGCTTTCGTCATACTTTTTTATATTGTAACATAAAAAAGAGAGAGAGAACAGAAGATATTGTCCACTAATCAAACAGATATAGCTTCACTGTATGCAGTGTACTGGAGCTAGGACTTTAATCTTCAGAGATGGAATTTCGGCGCTCAAAGTGATTACGTCAGAAGGGTTTTGCCCTTCAAAAAACCTTCTGCATGCAGCTTTCCCTGCAGCCCCCCAAATACATACCTGAGCCCAGTCTCGATCCAGTGATGTGCATGAGCGAAGACATTCTCTCTGTTCTCTTGCTCCTCATTGGCTCAGATACAGCAGCAGGAGTCATTGGCTCAGATACAGCAGCAGGAGTCATTGGCTCAGAAGCTAACATGCCCCCGAGCTTTCTATGGAGGTGCTTGGCGTGGGACCCTAGAAGGTGAAGATCGGGTGCAAAACCATTGCATAAAGCAGGTAAGTATGATGTTTGTTATTTTAAAACAAAAAAATATATTGAACCTTTAATAATGCTTCAAATTTGTGTCAATGAATGAAAGTTAGTTTATACCCAAAGCAACAGCAACCATAAATTGGAAAACGCATCATTTGGGGTAAATAACTTCTACATGTTCAAAAATTGTGTTCGGCTTTAGTGTGACGTGGGGTTGCTGTTACATAAACTTCAGGAAGTAATTCCTATTCTATTGAATATTTATTGCACAATTGCCAAATATCATTCCCAAGGAAGAGGAGACATTGAGACGCTACTTTCTGCTCTTGGAATTAGATTGCACAGCTGTTGCCTCTCAGCAATTGACATAAAGTGCTACTGCAGCTTGGTTATGTATGGCTTATGTGTCAGGTTTATTTTGCTAAGAGAAGTAGGAGTTCAGCTGTTGAAGAGTTGTGACCAGATATGTTTGTTGCTTTCACATTCTTAACAAAATGGCTCTCAGGCTTAGAATTCATTGGCACAATTTTACAAGCCACAACTGTTTCTTTTTTAGCTTTGTCTATAACATGTAGTTTTTATATTTGAATCAACTGAATAATTTGAAATTAACATGCTGTTAAAATGAGTACCATAAATGATTGTTTTGTTTTTTTAATAGGACATATTTATTTAAACAAATTTGTATTCATGGTCTTCGATGTGTAGATACCCAGGCCAAATGCAGCAAAGTAAAGCTTCTGCCTTCACAATGGGGTCAGTGGATCGTAGGGGCACTGATGGGCTCAGGCACACTGTCCTTCCAGCTTTGAGACCACACCTCTGTACAGGGTTATAGTTACAAAGCTGGAAGAAGAATGTATGGACTAAGAGGGTGCTCATCAGCACTCCAACAGTCCATTATGAACTACAAGCTGTCTGCCATGGTGGAAGAGTGGACTTGTAATTCATTCATTCACATTTTGTTGTGAATGAGTGGACCCAACTGTGCGGGCGGTTTTGTAACTTGACAGAGGGTGCAGAAAGAGGCTTCCCTGACAGTGGAAGGGGGGGTGAGCAGGGTACAAGCTGGAACATGTTACAACCTAAATACGGGTGTAACATGTTCCAAAGGTGAACTTGACCTTTAATCCCTAAGAGACACAGCATGTCTCTTGTGTATTTAAAGCCTTTTTTTTTTTTTTTATTACTTTTTTAGTAGATTTCAATTTTACATAAGTGCCTAGGCTATGGGAAACAGACTTTCTGCCACTCAAAGGGCCTCAGGTTGGACACCAGGGGAATACATTGATAATTACAGCATTAAATCTATTGCACTGCAGCCTAAGCCTGCATTCACACTTGTACTTTAAGCATCGTGTTTTTGTGCATTGTGTCTAGGCAGCCCATTCATGTCAGGATACAAGTACTCCAACTTTTGACATTCTAATCAAAATTAAATACATTTTTTTTTTTTTTTTTTTTTTTTTTGTAGGTATTATGCTGTCCTTTACCCAATGGTATATCCTATGAAGATCACAGGGAATCGTGCAGTTCTGGCAATAGCATATGTTTGGCTCCATTCTCTCATAGGATGTCTTCCACCCCTCTTTGGATGGTCCTCACTAGAGTTTGATAACTTCAAGTGGATGTGTGTTGCTGCATGGCACAAAGAGGCTGGCTATACTGCCTTTTGGCAGATTTGGTGTGCTTTGCTGCCTTTTATCACTATGATGATTTGCTATGGCTTTATATTTCGAGTGGCCCGAATAAAAGCTAGAAAGATCCATTGTGGAACTGTCATCATTGTTCAAGAAGCTCCTCAGAAGAATGGGAGAAAAAATTCCAGTACTTCTACATCTTCATCGGGGAGCAGGAAAATGGGTTTTCAAGTATTGTCTATTCAGCCAATCAGTGTAAAGCTTTTATTACAATATTAGTAGTTATTGGTGCTTTTGTGCTTACCTGGGGGCCTTATATGATTGTTATAAGCACTGAGGCCTTATGGGGGAAAAACAGTGTTTCTCCCATAATGGAGACTTTAGCTACCTGGCTATCATTCACAAGTGCAATTTGTCACCCTCTTATTTATGGACTTTGGAATAAGACTGTGCGTAAGGAGCTTCTAAGCATGTGCTTTGGCAACAAGTATAGAGATCCATTTCATCAGCAGCATAGGACTTCACGAATGTTCAGTATTTCCAATCGGATAACAGGTAGGTCCTGTAGACTTCATTATGTAAATTGTGACCATTGTGAAAATATTTTCTAAGAATGTGAGGACTAGTTCTTATTCCTGTCTCTTACCCAAGTTCTTCAAACTTGACAATTAGATTAGATTCCATGTATATACACAGAGATGTGGACATTTTTTTAAAAATTTCCAAAAACATCCGAATCCCAAAAACTGGATCTTTAAATAGGATCTTTATCGATAGCAACTTAGGAAACAGTCCTAAAAATACTTTAAAACAAAGCTCCACCCAAAAGGGGACATTCTGCTTTAAGGCCTCCTCCCCCACTCGTCTTTCAGTAATGAGTGGTTACCCGCTCCCTCTTCTGCTCCGATCGCCAAGGCAATCAGAAGCAAAAGTTTTCTCCATTCCCCCCTCGCCTCCTTCTCCACAGTGTTCTTGGACACATGACAGGTTCCAAACACTGTAGAACCATTCACAATGCAGTGCAGTGCAGTGCAACCCGTGCATACGCGGTGGGCACATGGCTTCAATCAAGCCAAATCAAGCTCCAGTGTCTGCTCTGTTAACCATTTAGTGTTTGAGGGTAAAACAAATGTTAATGCATAAGCACAATTTACAACTTTGACATGTTAAAAAAAACGTACATATCATCGCAACTACTTTATCCAGGGCTTTCGTTTGGTGGTAAAAGGTAATGGATATCGCCTTTTTTTTTTTTTTTTTTAGTTATCATTATCAAAGGAAAACTGGCCCAAAATAGTAGAACATTTTTGTTTTTTAAATTTAGTATATTTCTTGCTATTAACATAATTTACCAGCAAAGAAAACCCCAAAATAAATTTTCCTGCTGCTGATGATCAGAGCGATACCACATACTGTACGTGTGTTCGTTTATTTGTACCCATAGTAGGGCCCAAAAACAATGTTGCACATTATGCATTTTTTTTTATCCTGCCTAAATCACACTAATACCTATTTAAATAAATATTTATCCAAAATATACTGACCTTGACCTTTGACCCCAGTGTTGACCTTTGAGTTTTACCTTGACCCCGATAACTAGATTTTGGTACATGTGTGACTTATATGCTGCATTAATCTCATTAAGGCTAGGTTCACACCTATGCAGGTTGCATTTGGGCCGTTTCTGCATTGCGTTTTTGCACTTGCATTTTTTCTTGTTGCTAGGCAGATCTAAAATGCAAAACACATCAAAAGCGCAATACAGTACGCATGTATTCACATTTGTGAGCACAGGGGAACGGGCGCGTTAAAAATTATTTTTTTATTGTATCACTAATCTTGTTTCCAATTTTTACACTGTTTCTTTACATTGTTTTTTTCTTGGATTAACCTTATTGCTAGCACAAGGAATAAACACCTGTCCCTGCCCATGCTATTGCAAGGGATGTTATGCTTCACTAGACCCCAGCTTACCCCTCTATCTTCAAAAGCATCTCATCAAACTGAGATTGGTTTGATCAGATGCTTTACAAGCTGGTAACAGTTTGTAAACAACGAACTGAAAATAGAAATGACAAAATCCATGATGTTCTGATTTCATTTGTCACAGAGGAAGGGAGGGTAAGGATGTATTTTTCTTTCCTCGGTGTTTAGCTGACTGGACAGGCAGCAGCAGTCATCCTGGGGGGGGCCCTCTTCTGCACCCTGTGGCTATAGAGCCAGGATCACTTCTACAGAAAAGCCCATCGCTGTCTCCAAATTTTGATACCAGGATCATGGTTGCAGCTATGATCTCTGTATACCAATATCAACTCGAGGACGTATGAGTACATCCTAGGGGAATGAAGTGGTTAACCCAATTTATGCATTAGTCCCTAAGATACCAATACTATGTCAGGAATTCAACAAAGAATGAGTTCATAAAATGTAAAAAGCCACATTTACAGTAAAGTCTCCAGCATATGATTGTTTCACAGCATTTTTGGCAAAGCTAAAAAACACTTGTGTCAATATTTATAATGGAAATGTCCCTGTGTATACATAAAAATTCCTATGCCTAGTACACACGATCTGAAAATAGGACGAAACGCACCGCTTTAAAACAATTATATGATAATCTGATTAGTACACAGCTTTCGAGAGCCGATCACAACAGTTCATGTAAAATTATCCTAAGGGACAAACACAAAAAACTCTCGTACGATAGCAGAATGTACGATTTTCGTATAGTACATTATTCGTCCAAAAAACAAAAACAGAAGACCAACACCACGCATGCTCAGAAATGAAAGAATACATTACAATTTGTATTCTGCATAATATATACAAATTGTATTCTGTCATACGAGAATTTTTGTAACTTTAGTAGCCTTTTAATATTTGATATGAGACTAGCATGCAAAAAAAGAACGATCATTTTGTCCGATATTCGCATTGTGTGTACAAGGTTTTACAAGAGCACTGGCATTGCTTTGTATCAATGAAAACTTTCACTGCAATAGTCTTTGGGCTTCTGACTGCATTACCACTGACAATGCAAGTCAATGAGAATGCTGAATAAAACTTCCACTAGTAGTTTCTTCCGTGTTATTGGTGATATTTCAAGCACTGTGTTTTAGCTGGCTCAGTTTCTGCTCCGTCATCAGAAAAGTTTCAAAAGGCCCTGACGCCAGGCCATTTATTTCACCCAAAACCTTTCAATAAAATTCTATATGAATTTAAATTATGTTAAGAATGTCAATTTATGCTGGGCACTGCTATCTTGGATGTGATGTCAGCAACCCCAGCAGAATCACAGTTGTCGCTCAAGTGACATTCTACAGTATTTTCCTTTGCTCCTTCGCTGGCAGCTACATAAGTTTATTTACATAGGTGAGTAGCTGGGCCAGCACAGTGAATAAAGTAATTTCAATTTGGCTGATGCGGCAGGGACTGGCCAAATTTTGATCAGTGTGTGACTGTTCCTGCTCAACAGATGTCGATCATTTTATCGATAATAACATTTACCATAGGTTTTAACCACTTTTGTCACCCATGCCAATTGTCACATTTCACCCCTCCTGGAACAGCATGGGTTATATTCTCATTAACTCTTGGGGAATGAGGAATATGGGTTATCATTTTACCTTCTTCCTCACTCCAGCAGGCTTCCTTCGTCTATGTGAACAGTCCCCAGAAGCCCCCCCTTCTTTTTTCTTCCTCCTTCTTCCTTTTCTTCCTCCTTCTTCCTTTTCTTCCTCCTTCTTCCTTTTCTTCCTCCTTCTTCCTTTTCTTCCTCCTTCTTCCTTCTTCCTCCTTCTTCCTTTTCTTCCTCCTTCTTCCTTTTCTTCCTCCTTCTTCCTTCTCCTTCCTCCTTCTCCTTCCTCTTTATTTCCTATATTTCTTTCCCCCACAAAAGTGAAGTTAACCTTTTTAAAGGAAGAAAACTGCTTGATTTTGACCGATTTTACCACAACAGCAGCTTTTTAATAAGACTTGTTACTTGCTAATGAATTTTGACTTTGTGACACAGCCTTATGGATAACAGCACTTCTATCTCAAAGCTGGTGTTACAAGTCTTTGTAATGGGGACTCCTCTTTATTACTACTTTGAGGAATCCAAGGCAGAAACTGGAAATCTGTTTTAAATACCAATGCATGTATGCTGTGAGCAATTTTGTTTCCAATAATGCTACAATTTAATTTTCTAGATCTTGGATTATCTCCACATCTAACTGCACTGATGGCCAGTGGGAAGGACTCCGATCACCAAAGCACTACAACAAATACCGGGGTCAGCTATTCAAACGATTCTGGGTACATTACTTTCTTTTTTATTTGCAGAATTTAATAAGTAACATGGGAATTACAAATCCTCTAGAGCAGAGCATACTGGGATAATTAAAAGAATTTTGCACTGATAAATGTGTTTATAGAGCAAGCATTATAAGCCAGTCTAATATTGTAAGTAGGGTTGCACTGATACCAAGTACAAGTATTCATGCAAATGCTCCAATACCTAAAACCGATACCTTTGCGGTGCAATTTGAGCTCATACAAAATCAACGTGCTCAAATTGCACTGCAAAGAATCCCATGCACTGTAATTCTGTCCGAATCGCATGTGGTTTCCTGCGTTGCTCCTGTGTTCAAGTTACTTCAGTACCTGAACACAATTATCGGTACTCGTACTCCCTAACAGGTACATCCCTAATTGTAAGGAGTTTTTTTTTTTTAAACTTTTGATTACAGCTCCAATCGGCCTCAAATCAACAGAACTTGCTTTTCCTTGGGGGAAATCTAGAGTGGACTTCCTCTAAGACTCCAGCATACCGAACTTCAGCAAATCCAGAGTACAAGGATACTACCCAGCATTCAGCTCAAAAGTGCCTTTATGTGGCTTGTACCAGCATGCTTACTCATAATAACTAATAATTGAGAATAATCCTGTCTAGTATCTTATACTTATGCATTTGCTGGAATCCAAAGACAGCATTAGACCATTTTACTTTGTACTCTGTTAACCAGTCAACCTTCATGTTCTCTGAATGATTTTTAGAGAGCTGAAGTGTAATCGTTTAGAAAAAACATATATAATACTCC